GTTGTGCTGATTGACTGTTCTGTTCTCCTATTGGCTGTAATTTGATGGCTTTAAATTTTGTCCACCAATCACAGTTAAGTATGGGATTCCTGGATGTATGCAATATTTATGACACCACAACCAAGCAAGCTATTGGGTTCTTGGGAAGGGACGCCCCTGGCAAGGCTTTTGGGACACTGTCGCCCCGGGAAGGGACCCTAGGGATGCTGGCGCTCTTGCGAGGGCCCCCTCACGGCCCCCGACGCCCCTGGGAGAACCCCTGGGATCGCCGCTACCTTTGGGAGGACCCCAGGGGGCACTTTCTCCCCTGGGTGAACTCCTGGACACGTCGCCACATCTCTGACAGCCTCTGGCGGTGCTGCCGCCCCTTGGAGGAGTCTTCGGGGTGCCACTGCAACTGGGACGGTCCTAGGGGGCGCCGCCACCTCTATGGAGGGACACTGGAGGTACTGGCACCCCGGAGAGGGTCCTTAGTGGCGCAACCGCCGCCCCAAGGAACGTCCCTTGGGGCCTAGCCTTAGTTTCTGGGAGAGCCCCTGGGGGCGCCCCTGCTTCTGGGAGAACCCATGACGGCGCCACTACCACTGGGAGAGCCCCAGAACGCACCACTGCCCCTGGAAGGGCCCTTGGGGACGCCGCCGCTTCTGGGAGGTCCCATGGGACAGTTGTTTTTGCACTATTTAGAACTCTTGGACATATGACATTAAATAAGTACACCGCCTCTCGCATTTCCAGTATCATTATCCTTAAAAATAAATGAAAAGCTGAATAAATATCCAACAGGAAAACATAAATTGGGGTGTTGTGCTGATTGACTGTTCTGTTCTCCTATTGGCTGTAATTTGATGGCTTTAAATTTTGTCCACCAATCACAGTTAAGTATGGGATTCCTGGATGTATGCAATATTTATGACACCACAACCAAGCAAGCTATTGAGTTCTTGGGAAGGGACGCCCCTGGCAAGGCTTTTGGGACACTGTCGCCCCAGGAAGGAACCCTAGGGATGCTGGCGCTCTTGCGAGGGCCCCCTAAGGCCCCCGACGCCCCTGGGAGAACCCCTGGGATCGCCGCCACCTTTGGGAGGACCCCAGGGGGCACTTTCTCCCCTGGGAGAACTCCTGGACACGTCGCCACATCTCTGACAGCCTCTGGCGGTGCTGCCGCCCCATGGAGGAGTCTTCGGGGTGCCACTGCAACTGGGACGGTCCTAGGGGGCGCCGCCACCTCTATGGAGGGACACTGGAGGTACTGGCACCCCGGAGAGGGCCCTTAGTGGCGCAACCGCCGCCCCAAGGAACGTCCCTTGGGGCCTAGCCTTAGTTTCTGGGAGAGCCCCTGGGGGCGCCCCTGCTTCTGGGAGAACCCATGACGGCGCCACTACCACTGGGAGAGCCCCAGAACGCACCACTGCCCCTAGAAGGGCCCTTGGGGACGCCGCCGCCTCTGGGAGGTCCCATGTGACAGTTGTTTTTGCACTATTTAGAACTCTTGGACATATGACATTAAATAAGTACACCCCGCCTCTCGCATTTCCAGTATCATTATCCTTAAAAATAAATGAAAAGCTGAATAAATATCCAACAGGAAAACATAAATTGGGGTGTTGTGCTGATTGACTGTTCTGTTCTCCTATTGGCTGTAATTTGATGGCTTTAAATTTTGTCCACCAATCACAGTTAAGTATGGGATTCCTGGACGTATGCAATATGTATGACATCATAGCCAAGCAAGCTATAGGGTTCTTGGGAAGGGATGCCCCTGGCAGGGCTTTTGGGACACCGCCGTCCTGGGAAGGGATCCTAGGGACGCTGGCGCTCTTGGGAGGGCCCCTGAGGCCCCCGACGCCCCTGGGAGAACCCCTAGGATCGCCGCCACCTTTGGGAGGGCCCCAGGGGGCACTTTCACCCCTGGGAGAACTCCTGGACACGTCGCCACATCTCTGACAGCCTCTGGCGGTGCTGCCGCCCCTTGGAGGAGTCTTCGGGGTGCCACTGCAACTGGGACGGTCCTAGGGGGCGCCGCCATCTCTATGGAGGGACACTGGAGGTACTGGCACCCCGGAGAGGGCCCTTAGTGGCGCAACCGCCGCCCCAAGGAACGTCCCTTGGGGCCTAGCCTTAGTTTCTGGGAGAGCCCCTGGGGGCGCCCCTGCTTTTGGGAGAACCCATGACGGCGCCACTACCACTGGGAGAGCCCCAGAACGCACCACTGCCCCTAGAAGGGCCCTTGGGGACGCCGCCGCCTCTGGGAGGTCCCATGTGACAGTTGTTTTTGCACTATTTAGAACTCTTGGACATATGACATTAAATAAGTACACCCCGCCTCTCGCATTTCCAGTATCATTATCCTTAAAAATAAATGAAAAGCTGAATAAATATCCAACAGGAAAACATAAATTGGGGTGTTGTGCTGATTGACTGTTCTGTTCTCCTATTGGCTGTAATTTGATGGCTTTAAATTTTGTCCACCAATCACAGTTAAGTATGGGATTCCTGGATGTATGCAATATTTATGACACCACAACCAAGCAAGCTATTGGGTTCTTGGGAAGGGACGCCCCTGGCAAGGCTTTTGGGACACTGTCGCCCCGGGAAGGGACCCTAGGGATGCTGGCGCTCTTGCGAGGGCCCCCTCACGGCCCCCGACGCCCCTGGGAGAACCCCTGGGATCGCCGCTACCTTTGGGAGGACCCCAGGGGGCACTTTCTCCCCTGGGTGAACTCCTGGACACGTCGCCACATCTCTGACAGCCTCTGGCGGTGCTGCCGCCCCTTGGAGGAGTCTTCGGGGTGCCACTGCAACTGGGACGGTCCTAGGGGGCGCCGCCACCTCTATGGAGGGACACTGGAGGTACTGGCACCCCGGAGAGGGCCCTTAGTGGCGCAACCGCCGCCCCAAGGAACGTCCCTTGGGGCCTAGCCTTAGTTTCTGGGAGAGCCCCTGGGGGCGCCCCTGCTTCTGGGAGAACCCATGACGGCGCCACTACCACTGGGAGAGCCCCAGAACGCACCACTGCCCCTGGAAGGGCCCTTGGGGACGCCGGCGCTTCTGGGAGGTCCCATGGGACAGTTGTTTCTGCACTATTTAGAACTCTTGGACATATGACATTAAATAAGTACACCGCTTCTCGCATTTCCAGTATCATTATCCTTAAAAATGAAAAGGTGAGTAAATATCCAACAGGAAAACATAACTTGGGGTGTTGTGCTGACTGACTGCTCTGTTCTCCTATTGGCTGTAATTTGATGGATTTACATTTTAGTCCACCAATCACAGTCGAGGGATTCCTGGACGTATGCAATATGTATGACACCATAACCAAGCAAAGTATAGGGTTCTTGGGAAGGGATGCCCCTGGCAGGGCTATTGGGACACCGCCGTCCCAAGAAGGGATCCTAGGGACGCTGGCGCTCTTGGGAGGGCCCCTGAGGCCCTCGACGCCTCTGGGAGAACCCCTAGGATCGCCGCCACCTTTGGGAGGGCCCCAGGAAGCACTTTCCCCCCTGTGTGAACTCCTGGACACGTCGCCGCGCCTCTGACAACCTCTGGCTGTGCCGCCGCCCCTTGGAGGAGTCCTCGGAGTGCCACTGCAACTGGGACGGTCCTAGGGGGCGCCACTACCACTGGGAGGGCCCCAGAAAGCACCACCACCCCTGGAAGGGCCCTTGGGGGCACTGCCGCTTCTGGGAGGTCTCCTGGGACATTTTTTTTTGTTTTGCACTATTTAGAACTCTCGGAGATATGACATTAAATAAGTACACCGCCTATTGCATTTCCAGTATCATCGCATCCTGAATGATGAAAGGTGAATAAATATCCAACAGGAAAACATAACTTAGGGTGTTGTGCTGACTGGCTGCTCCGGTCTCCAATTGGCTGTAATTTGATGGACTTACATTTTAGTCCACCAATCACAGTTAAGTAAGGGATTGCTGGACGTATGCAATATGTACGACACCACGACCAAGCAAGCTACAGAGCTCTTGGGAAGGGACGCCCCTGGTAGGGCTTTTGGAGACACCACCGCCCCTGAAGGGGAGGGACCCTGGGGCCGTCAGCGCCCTTGGGAGGGTCCCAGAGGGCGTCGACGCCCTTGGGAGAACCCCTGAGGGTGCAGCTTCTCTTGGGAGGTCCCTTGGTGATGCCACCGCCCTGACAGGGCCCCCACAGTTCGTGGGAAGACCCCCGCCACTCCTGGGGGAGCCCCTAAGAGCGCCACTGCCCCTAGGAGGGCTCCTGGAGGTGCCACTGTCATTGTGATGGGCCCTCCCAAATGGGAGCGGCGCCCCAGAGGCCCACCCATGGGCGGCGGTGCCCACAGGAGCCCTGCCAGGGGCGGCGGTACTCCCGGGGACCTCCCAGGGGCAGTTATACTCCCGGGGGCCCTCCAAGGGGCGGTGGCGGCGCCCCCAAGGACCATCCCAGGGGCGGTGGTGTCCCCAGGAGCCCTCCCAGGAACAATGCCGCCCCCTGTGGCCATGCCAGAGGCATTGGCGTACCCAGGGACCCATCCAGGGGTAGTGGCGCTCACAAGGGCCCTCCGAGAAGCATCAGTGACCCCAGGGGCCCTTATTACGGTCAGTGGCGCCCCCAGGAGCCCTCCCAGGGATGGCAGCACTCCAGGAGCCCTCCCAGAGACAGCACTCCCAGTGGCCCCAATTTAGAGGTGGCAGCGCACCCATTGAGCTTCCTAGGGGCCGCAGCGCCCCTAAGGGCCCTCACAGAGGCAGCGATGGTACATACTGTACCACCTGCAATTCTCCCCAAACATATGTCTTCCCACCCATAATATATACACTTCCTCCTCTTCCTCATCCATGCCCAACACCTCAGACCTATTCTTCTTGCTCACATGGAAAAATTTAAGAAAAATTTATGACCGATAGAGAAAGAGACAGAAAATGATACATTGAAATTCTATAAAGACCTGTGTCCAGAAAGGTATCTCTGGCAATATGCATGATTGTTGAGTATGTAGGAGTGTATAGAAACTTCAAATGTACTATTGTAGCTTTATTTTATTACAAATTTAAAGCCCAGTAAGAAAATCATTTTCTTTGTGATTTTTTTTTAGACAAATTTGTACAAAAGCACTTTCATACATTTCTGAGCAACTATCCTGTACTTACAAACAGGAGACATTACTTCAGACTACTCATTTACATGGATATTCTAAGACAATCTGCATCAGAGTAAAACATTATTATTTTCTCTATGCAACACAACATGTGAGCTGTACACACTTTTGATACATATGTGGATAAAAAACAAAACCAAGTGTAAAATCTTCCATATCCTTATTGGTGCTAGAAATGTCAAACTGCTTGTAATTCCTGGGCTATTTACACCTATTGTCATATCCACCTAATAATTACACTTCAATCATTTTACCACCAGTGTTGTTAGCCTTTCTGCACTCATAAAAGTGTATGAGATCTCTGTTACACATCTCCAGCAAAGAGCAAAATGTTGAGCTGCAAATCAACATGGCTATTAAGTAACTACTCTATAGTACTGTAATACAAATTTCAATAATAATAGGATCTGTAATATGTGATGGAAAAAATAAGCTAGAATACTGAGGCCAACACATGCAAGTTAATCTATTATACCTACCTAATTCAGTCCCACATGACTTCTTTGTGACCTACGACCAATGTAAAAAAATAGATAAAAAATAAAATTAAATAGATAAACACTGTACTGTACTTCTGTTTGGGGGCAGCACAGTAGTTTCTTTGTCTATTCTTTGTGCAATTTTGGTAAAGTGACTTTTGTGAAACAATCAAAATTATAAACTCATTATCACATGAAGATTAGACACCTATGTTTATTTCATCTGTTGATAACCATCCTAATGTTACCTGAGGAGGGTTAGGTCAGGTCAGGTCAGTGTTATAGTGGCTAATCTTAAGGGTGAAACTCCAAAACCCTATAACACTGCTTAAGGTCTGAACCAACCTATCTTTGTACCGATCATCTTTGGTTGAATTATGACAAAGTAATGGACCAAAACCCCGAAATCAGGCCTTTTTTAGTTCTTAACTTCGACCTCTATAAGATGACCAAAAGTTGGGACTAATGTAGAGTTGGATAAAGTTGTGCTAATCTTCATTTTGACCAGTCCAAAAATAAATAAACAGAAGTTAAAAATAAACATTCCTGGGTTGTTTGATCTCTGACCCCATTAAATACTTATAAAATAGATTATAGGAGTATTGGATCAAGACACAAACCAATCAAGCTTCATATTAATTGATCCAGAACTGAAGAACTGACGATTAATTTATTGTCATTTAAAAAAATTAAAAAGAAACAGGACAAAATCTATCTACACCTGTAAATATAGGATGGCAGAAACTGTTTACAAAGTAAATGATATTTTTATCCTGAATTCATATTTTCTACTGGAGCCCATTGCTAGACAACTCCCATAATATATGCTGCTTACTAGAGGAACTGGGTCTGCCTACCATTCCCCATAATGCTAGCCAGGGCTGATTTGTTAACTCCTTTTGGCTATACAGTATTAATCGCCTTTCCCTATCCTACCAATTTTCCACAACTGATGTAACAGATGTGTAACAGTTTCCCCCATGAAGCAAAACTGGCACTGAGAATACTGTACTGTTTGTCATTTTTTATTTTATGGTCAATCCATTTTCAAATCCAATAAAGAAAAATACACAAGGAAGGGTAACTGTGACACCTGGTCTGTGGTCCATGCTGGATGAGAGGATTTCAGAATTGAACCTCGATTTTAAGCAAACATCCTTCATCCAAGTGGCTCTCTTAACCATACGCCAGCTAGACAAGGAGGAGGAGGATGTGCCACAAGAACTCCAAGAAGTAAACAAATATTCACTCATAGGAGAATAGACATGGTTTCAGGTTACAAGGATTACTCCCCATACAAGATACTTCAAGTGGAGTGACTTCAACATATCTTTACCTACATCCACCAAAAACTAGAGGTAATTGGGAAACTAAGATTACTGATAAAGTTGCCTGGCCTCAAAGCATATACAAATAGAGATAAAATTAATTCATTAAAAGTATGCTACTGTATTTATATTAAAACATATTCACTTCTGTAATAAAAATAAAGCTATCTAGACAAAAAATACAATAAAAGAGTATTATCAAACATGGCACATTAAAGCTAATATGTATGAAATTCTTATAATGTATTACTAGCTGTCCCTTTTCTTATTACATTACCATTAATAACTGTTTGACAGCACCATCCAGCACAGTTCATACTTTAACAGCTACAAATTTGAGAGCATTGGTGAAATTCTGGATTAAATTCAGTCATCCCAAAGGCACAGTTGTCGTTGTGGTACAAAATAGTTAAAGTTTCGACATTTGCGGCAGGTGCGAATACCACAGCGGTACGACACAGCCTTGCCCGAGTTGTCTCTCCCCTTACAGTACTTGAGGCCACAGGGATACCAAGCAATGCACACCTGCAGAGAAAATTAATTTAAGGATAATTACAGGAAGAAAGTTGGAAATTTTCTCCACTAAACACATCTCACTTACTTTACACACACAATATTAACCCAGCCAATGCAGCTGATCTGAATTTTCAAGTGTACCGTCATCATGGCAATTTTCACATTCAGGATACTCTATATCAGGATACTGTTCCAAATATACACTTCATCAAAGCTAATAATTAACACACTGTTTGGACTACAACTCAATCCAATACAGTACTATAATCATATGTAACACAAATTAACAGCATTTGTTTGGGGGTATTTATCCAGTACATACATTAATTTATGAAGTTTCCTACTACAGGCATTCCATTGACCTGCACCTCCCAATTAACGGCAGTGTTATAAAAAAAATCCATAAATTTACATTCTACATAACTTATGAGGAGGAGGACCACTTACTCATATTTCTTCCTTGTCCCAAACAGCTGCCAAAGTCATTAATTATTAACAAATTTCGTGTGATGATAATTATCCACTATACTGACCTGATAATGGCAAGCACAAGGATTGGAAAGATCTCGGCCCCCATCTCCACAGCGAGCTACTCCTCTTGTAGGTAGATGGTGTGTTACATCACTAACCAAAGACCAATCACCATCAAGTTCTGAAATTAAAAAAACAAAAAAGGGGCTGACCATGAAATCATATTTTATTGCTATTGGGATGGGAATAACAATTCATCCTGAGACCAAATGAACAACTCACCATGAGATTGGATGATTCTTGATAAAGAACTGGAGGCATCAGTCCAAACTGTATGATTAACCTATGCTAAAAAGCTCTTTGAAGATGAAAACAGCTACTGTAATAACTTTATACCTCTCAAATACTACAGAATCAAGGCCAAAAGGTAGTATTTCTCCAAAAACCATGGGCAGAGTGAACATAAAGACAACAAAAAGGGACTAAATGGAATTTGTAGTTTTAAACTCAATATTACTGACCTAGAAAAGAAGGTTGAGACGTATACAATCTAAAAGACACACAGCTTGGCAACCCTCCTGTCTTTAATGACATCTGTTGTTTTTAATCTCCATTTTTGAGGGTGATGATTGCAATGGGTAGGTATACAATTCATCAAATCAATTTCATCTTGGTCGAGAATAGATCCAAAAGCTTGGTACTATGTGCATATTTATGAGGCACCTAGTGCAGGGCAGTTGGCCATAAAACTGGCCTGGGAATATTAGACAAAACAAATACAAATTTCATTGTCCTACTGTAAAGTATGCTAAGGTGTTCAGAACACAGTACAATAATAAATAGTAAAAAATAAATTCTATTTATCCATTACAGTATATATAATCTTTAACAGCATCATCATCATGCATAATTAAACAAACTAGCTGGAAAGGTGTCAGTGTCCACAATATTTACTCACAGGTTTAACAAAGTTTTTAATGTGTATTGTGAATGTAACCTTTGGTGAATGAACACACACTGTCTACATAAAATCTACATCAAACATACTCAATAACTCCCCCATGCATAAAAAAAGCATATACATTATACCTCTTCTCTGAGTAGCCCATAGTTTGATATCACGATCAGAAGCATACGTAGAACTGGGGGCGAGGGCACACATATGTGGGATGTGTGGGGAGAGAATGTTTGATCTTGCAACATCAACACTTATATCCAGTTCAACTTCCTCTATTCCTCTATCCTCTTCTGGGGTTCGCACAGTGCCAGGGTTTTTCTGAAAATTATATCAGTATGGATTAAAATGTGTGTATGGAACTGATTTAGGAAAATTTATAATAGTGTACAGAACCGCTTAGGATGAATTGCTTATTTATGTAAAATGGAGAGAACAATTGTGTGGTAGAGGCAAAATTTTCAATTCTCAAAAACTATGAATTGCAATAAATTAAGCAATTAAAACGAGGTTTGTAGTGGGGTCAGTCTCTACTAAATAAATATTAAGGACAAAAGTAGCTTGTGTAACAGGTTAGATAACCTTAAACTTGAGTAAACACAGAAGAAACAGAGGAACCAATAAGATCCACAATGGTCATAAAGATTCATAAATAATCGTGGATGGAAAAATGTGAACAAACAAGCAGAAAGCACTGGTCAACGCACTTGGCAAATCTTCAATTTTGAAAAAAGAAAAAAAAAGTTAAGTCCTTCATGCCAGTAAATCAATGAAACAGTCTTTACACCAATTCCTTATACTTTTCTACTAATTTCTACTCAATCTCATTACAGAAAACATCCCTCCTTCAGTCCTATTGGTTGGGTGGAGGAAGTATTGTACTGTATGTTTGGATAGACATACTTCATGGAGCACAACCATGTTCACACATACATCATTCACCTATATTCTGGCACAATAAAGCATTGTACCAAGTCTCAGGAAACCCACAGAAAACTACTGAACCAGATGATTAAGAAAACTTGTGATCACAGCCACTCACACATGTAACACACACACACATACCAATCACCCATAGAAGAAGAAAGAAAAGGGTTATCTAAGCTCACCCGCTAAATTCTCATTTTCTATAAGATAAAAGATGCGTTTGAAAAGCATCCAAGTACTGCACTGTGCAACAACACTTTACACTAGTGCTAATATTAAAGAAGTTTGTACAATGGCTAACATATTTATGCTTTTCATGGAAGTTCCACAACACATATATGACCACTAAAATTGCCTTTACTAATCAGACAAATATTGTACAAAAGATAGCAGCACACAACAGTGCTTTGCTCCCATGACATACCAGTATAAAATAAAATTTATAAAATATTGTACACTACTGTAGTTAACATACCAATGATGTTTATGAAAATTTTACAAAAGAAAATGGCCATAAAAGCACCAATTCTGATTTAATAAGAAACATGCTTGATGTGTTTCATAGTAGAACTGTATTATACCAGGTTGAACCTCACTAGTCCAGTTAGCTTGAGACCAAACTGGTGCCAGACTACTGAAAATTAATAACCACCTAGGTGCAGGTTCAAAAGGGGTCTTCATTATACAGGACTGTACATTGGGATGTATTCCAGAGTAATCCAACTTATACTGTAGTGAAACGTTTTATAATTATTAATTTTTCCCCACAAGAATTAATGTAATTAGGGGAACTGCATATGCATTCCAACATGTACATTAACACGCCTTGAAAGCTCAGAATGTTTTCCTGGAGAGAGAACTTTGAGTAAATCAGCTTACAACGGGGTCATTATAACATACTGTACTTTACTGTACTGTATAGTATTTGATATGGAGATACATTCATAACAACATTATTTGTTACCTTTGAGTGATACTTGATGGTTCGATTTAGATACTTTTACAATAAGACAACTGATTAATAAATAACCAGGGTATAACCAGGTGCATAATACACTACAAAATCATTGATGAAGTGCAGATAAATACACTACAATATTACTTAATAAGTGCTGAAGACACATGTTGTTGTAAGCCTGACGACATGGTGAGGGACAGTGCGGGCAATGAGCTGTTTGCGCAATGTAAACAAAGCTGTCAGGAATTTAATATGACGCAATAACTCGTCTTGGGTTAAGTGTGGGATTTTTTCCGGAAAATGTAGTAGTTTACAATAATACTCTATTAACCCAGCACTAAATATACCTAAATAATATGGAGATTATGATAAAATTGTAAACTGCCGTTATGAAGGGATCGTGGGCTGACAAGCACAGAGGGCGAGTTGTCCTCTCAGTCCAGCCAGCACTCTCCTGGCTAGGCACCCAGACTATTATTTTTCACTCCATTTCTTTACATACAAACCCTCCAATGTATAAAAACTGACTGATAATCTGGCAAAAAGTCATATTAATCTAGGATTTTAGTGCCATACCTGCCTGAGTTTTGACATGGCATCAGACGAGATGAAGTTACTCTTGAAGAACCTCAATATGAAGCACATGACCTGGTACTGACTCTGACCCAGCTCCTCCTCACCCAAGACAATCACCTTAAAGATCTGTAATTCCTGTAGACAAAGGTGAAACATTATTAAAAACTAGAAAACTTATGTAAATTACTACAAAAAAGGGATTATAACTACAAAATTTATATTATAGAAGAGGTAAAGGAAAAAAGGAGAACATTTTGTTAAGGTGGCAAGTACTTTATCTGGTCTCATACTCACTCAGGATGTATATATACTCTGAGAGAAATGAGCATTAACTGAATCTGCACTAAACCAGCATAACTCCTCACAAATGATCAACGTATGTGGGCTTTAACACTTATATTTTCATTTCCAACAATAAAAAACATAAAAATATGGCAGAAAGATAAAAACAGAGTAGACACACACTTGGCTGACAGCATGAAAATAGGAGGATTATGAGTGGTGATTGGCTCAGAGCTTATGTCATTCTCACTGACTGTGGTGTTTCTTCATAACAACTGTCAGTTCTAACTTATAACTTTTGAGGCACTATTTTGGATTTTAATTGGTTTTGCCTTTTTATTAAAAATTCCTACTGAAGACAACGAGCTGTATAATGAATCAGCATTCTATGGGATAGCACAAAAGACCCTACTGGAAATAACATCAGCTGGCTTTGCTGGCTATCCGTAGTTGAAATGCCTTACTGTTTACCATTGTTTATATACCCACAGTGTCTGGGTAATGTACTATACCTGTACATACAGTGGCATTCCCATTAGCCGGAACAATTGGTACAGAGCACTTCCGGAAATGAGAGATTTCCGGGTAACGAGAAGACTCTCTCAAACCCGGAAAAATATCCCTCATCCCCGGAATTTTCTGGGAACGGTAAAGGAAAAATTTCCTTGGAAGCTCCAGAAATTGCCCTTTACATCATCTCTTGAACCCGGAAAAGTGTCCCTCATCCCAGTAATCTTCTGGGTAACGGAAAAAAATTTCTCGGAATTTCCAGAAAATGCACCTGATTCTAATCTCTCAAACCCGGAAAAAAATCCCCCATCCCTGGAATTTTCCAGAATTTTCCAGGTATCGGGAAAATTTTCTATGAATTTTCTGGAAAATTGTTCCCAATCGTTCCCAAAGCTGGAAAATTCAATTCCGGCAAACGGAGATATTACTGTATTTTTTATACTTGCACAGTTTATGTACATTGTATAGCTGGACTTCAAAATAACCCTAAACAAAATTATCAGAACAATGGAGGGTTCCTACACAAGCCACTGGCCTCCTTCCCACAGCATGGACACCTCTATTGGATGGCCATGAGGTCAATAAAGTACAGTAATACCTGCACTGTACCTATGAGTTTAGAATTTTAATTTTGTTTACTTAAAAACAGTTAATCTATATGCAACAATATCTTGTGCAAAAACTAACACCCTACACTAGATTGTTCTAAAATTAAATCACATGATAACAATACTTAATGCGCATTTACTTATACTATATATTGAAACATATACTATACGTAGTGTAAATTATATAACAGACTCTTTTTGGTTCACCTGAAGATTCCTCTCCAGCTCATTTCACCTTGACTAACAATCCTAACACTCCCTGTGGAGGTAAGGTTAGTTAGTCACAAGGTGAAATAAGCTCGAGGACAAACCATTCAGGTTTGGCTACCACAACTCAACTCACTTGTTTGAAGTCAATGAGCTGTGTGATGTAAGTCCCATCATTCTGAGGAAACTCTAAAGTGACAGAATCATCAGAAATATTGGCAGTAATTGTTTCTTTGAACACTTCTCCACTCTGCAAAAAATACAAACAGTTATATCATTAAAATAATTACAGTAAAATAAAGTAGTGGTAAGAGATACAGTATAAAAAAACATTAATTAATTAAAGATGCACTCATGTATACAAGAACAATTTGTGGTTCACTTGAAGATTAACCTACCCAACTTATTTCACCTGATGATTAACCATCCTAATGCTAATTTAACCTAACCCTCAGGTAATCTGTATGAGGATGGTTAATCTTCAGGTAAAATAAAATGGGATGTATAATCTTCAAGTGATCCCAATTAGTTAGTCCTACAACCAGTCTTCTATGTACTATAGTATTTCGTTTTCAGGTATTAATTGTTTATTCCTAAAAACTGTATAGATGTACAGTACATTTCTTATTTGATGCAGTACAAACTACCATACATATTGAGGCCGTGTATAGTATGAGTAAATGTGAATTTTATTGAGAATAAAACTCAAAATAATTGTATTGTACTCAAACTTTACTGGGTAACTATACTTAAGATCTCTTGAGGACTAGTAACCCCTCTTATTTCACCAGATGATTAAAACTGTATCCTAATGCCTATGTATTATTTAAGCATTTTCGACTTACGACCATTCGACTTACGACCTGGATTTGGGTCCCTAACCCCATCGTAAGTCGGGGAGGAGCTGTACTGTACGGTACACCGAACGCCAAAATGGCCGTAATTTCCTCTCCACTTCCCTAAAGGCTGAAAGGTTCTTTTCATATTAGTTATATTTTCTAAGATGGTAATAGAAGATAACTATAACTTTAGATTAGATTAGGTTGGGTTATATTATAGGTTCAGTTATGTCTGGTTGGTAAGGTTGGTTTAATTTATACTGTGGCAGTAGCTGGTACAGTCGGAGACAAAAGTTCGCTCCCTGTAGTGAGACTTACTGTAGGTCATGGGAATGAGTCTCCGAAATGACTTACACTAACTGTTGTATCTCGTTTCAGGTCGATGCTGCTTCATTTAAAGAGGAAGCGAACTACAGACCCTGACTGTCCATGTATCTCCCTGCATTTTCTGAATACTGTATGTACATAACTGTAGTTCCTTTGGGGGGAGGGTGGAGGATTAAAAACTAACTTTTTCAGCTGTAATACAACAACCTGACTTAGTTGTTCCTATGATGTATGAATATTGGAAGAATTGTACTTTTCAATCTTTTTTTTTTCATAGTTTTCCCACAAATTAAGACACTGCCTGATGTCCACCTGACAACGAATACTTTCTAGCAGCCAAATGAATGCTGAGAGATAGAATACTTTCCAGTGACCTTTTCATACAAACTAAAATACAGTATTAGCAACCTAACCTAACCTAATACTTTTTCTAGCTGTTGTTGTTGTTGTTTCTTAGTATGAAACAGAATATCGTTATTATCAATGGCAGTGTTAATATGAAAAGAAAATACTGTACTTACAAAACCTAAATACAAAAAGGTTATATTTCTCCACCCAATATGCTTTATGCTCAAGGTATTAAATAATTTTTCTTCAATAGATATTTTTCATTAGGTAGCTGGTTAACCTGGACCCTTGTCGTTATATATTACCGGTACATAACTTTTGGTGCAAAAAAACTACCAAGCAGAACTCGGTGGTTCACTCCTATTAGACACAATTCGATAAGACTTTGACAATTTCCAGGCAACTGTTGCTCTTTAATTATGTATTTAACATTTTATAGTTAATATCGAGTAAACCACATCATTAAGTTATACGAAATACACTTCCAAGGATAAAATAGTGATAATAAGACAATATCACATAAATGTTAAACTAAAAATCTCATTGGAAGCAAAATGTTTAAGGGTACCAAAAATTACACATTTACAAAATTAATAAAATAATGAACTCGAGTACTGACCTCATTAGATTAGCGCAAGTAACCATAATTATTAGTTTAATCACCTGTGTGTTAACGTTGACCACCAGCTGAGAGTGACACCCACAGGTCATCACCATCACCACCACCACCAACACTGGCTGGTGCTGCTTCATCTTCCTGTTTCTTCTTATTTCATTGTCTTCTTCATATTTCTCTCTTGGCTCCTGTGAGTCAATGCATCTCACCAAGACATGAGTCACACCAGCTGTTTCTTCCTCCTGGTTGTGGCTTCCTTACCAGTTACTATTACAATCAAGAGATGGCGCAGATAAACTATGTCAGGTCTGTAGATAAAGACAGAGTTTATATTTATATAGACAACAGTCACAATACAGGTATAGTGGTATATTGTAAAAGTAGCTCAGCATGTATATGAACAACGCAGGTATTTAGTTCAGCAAGTACTGTATATAGACAATGAAAGTATATAATTCAGCATATATATAGACAATGCAGGTATATACTGTACATAGGACAGTGCAGAGGATGGATATTGATTTAAATTTAATTTATTGGGTTAAAAATCATAACGGATATGTAAACATAAACATTTACCGAAGACAACACCTATGGTAATTGTAAAATTCAATAAAGTCATCACACAAGTTTTCTGGTCCTGTTGTAGTGGATTTCTCCCCTACAAACGCTGTAGCCGACCCCACGAATTCCCCAGTGTATGCCTCGTGGTCTGGGTCAACCAGCGCCGCCATACATCACGGAGGTCAACTACTAAGCCACGCCTACCCCCGCTATTTAAGACCTGACCTCGTGGTGATCTCTCTCTTCTAGCTACAGCCGCAGCAAGCAACACCTCCTCCTCTGCCGCTGCCTGGCGGTCCTCGATCCCGCCGGCGAGCATGTCCTCTGAGCACCCTCACCAACCAGCTCTCTCTACTCAACGATTGAAACCATGCTGCCTTCCCAGCACCAAGCTGCACTGTACATCCAATACAATATGCAATCAACGACCTCACCAGCCAGGATTCGAACCAATATGTATACAGAGAGCACATTGTGAATTTCCTTCCTCCATCCCATCCTGAGTGTGAACCCAAACAACCCATTACCCCACAAATGGTGACCCCCGGAGATTCGCACTCACACAAGATGGAGGAGAAACAGATCACGCTCCCAGTCTTCAAGCAACATGGAAGACTGGCTTATCCACCCAGAGGCAGCTCTCATCGGCTCTACAGCTATTGTCTCTACACCGCAGGTTAGACACCGTAGAGCAGCACTGCTTCTCTAAACAGACACCAGCTCCTCTTCCTGCCCCAAGCACCACGTTCTACCGACCCCAGCACACCTGTCCTGCCTCAGACGCCGCCCCCTGCCCAGCAGTAGCTCCTGCCGCTCCTCCTGATGCAGCCCCTGCTCCCGACGCGGCCCATGCGCCTGAGTGCGGACCCACACACTCCTCTTTTCTCCCTCAGGTACTCCCTGCTACTGTCCTGCACTCTGCTGCGCCTGAGTGCGGACCAACACACCCCTCTTTTCTCCCTCAGGTACTCCCTGCTACTGTCCTGCACCCTGCTGCTGTCGTGGACCCAGCTGCTGTCAGCCCTCATCCGCTTCTGCTGATGCAGCCCCTGCTCCTGACCCAGGCCCACACACCCCAGCAGGCGCATCTGACGACTCTGTACCTGCCGTGAGGGAAGCACAACATTCATCGCCTCCACACACCCTTTTTCTCCCTCTCTACTCCCACAGATATTGTGTATCTAGACAGTTGTCTCCTCTAGCGGCCGGCTCATCCACGCCATCGCCGTTATGGCTCACATGTGGCATGCACCGCCCGTTCTGCCTCACATGTGCCATGCATCCCTGCAGACAACAAGTCTCCTACACCGCCTGGAGGGAAGGGGGGAATATTGTAGTGGATTTCTTCCTTACAAACGCTGTTTGTCGCTGAGTAGCCGACCCCGCGAATTCCCCAGTGTATGCCTCGTGTTCTGGGTCAGCCAGCGCCGCCATACATCACGGAGGTCAACTACTAAGCCATGCCTACCCCCGCTATTTAAGACCTGACCTCGTGGTGACCTCTCTCTTCTTCTAGCTACAGCCGCAGCAAGCTACACTACCTCCTCCACCGCTGCCTGGCGGCCCTCGCTCCCGCCGGCGAGCATGGCGACCCATAAGCTGTCCTCCTCTAAGCATCCTCACCAACCAGCTCTCTCTACATCACGCTTGTAACCACGCTGCCACTTCCCAGCACCAAGCTGCATTGTACATCCAATACAACATGTATACAGAGAGCACATTGTGAGTTTCCTTTCTCCATCCCATCCTGAGTGTGAACCAAACCACCTGTACCCCACACTGTATTCATATAGTTAGATAAAGCAATTGTCACGTTTATGAAGAATTTACTTCATAAATTCTCTGCATTCGATTATGGATAGCCTAAAGAGCCATTAAATCCTTATTTCCAATAAGCCTTTTGCAGGCACGTGTTCAGAAATTAAGGAATGGTTATGTATTTACAGGGGCGGATCCAGGAAGCCCTGGGGGTCCGGAACACATTTTTCATCAGAAAATTCCAATACTTTTTTTTAATGCAGTATTGTACTCAAGCGTTTTGGTATCGTAAAGAGTAATTACAATTGACCTCAGAATATCTCCTCATATATCAAGTGCACATGGCTTCAAAATGGCCTCAAGATTCCCATGGTATTGGTCAGTTTTCAAAACAAATTCTGGGGGCTTACAGCACTTCAAACCCTCCAGCTGGGTGGGCTCACTGTGCTCATCTTGTTCCCCCACCCACAGTCTTGAAGGAAATCACACTCGGTGCTGTCACAATACTCTCTGGCAGATTGTTCCAAGAATTTACAATTCTCACTCCAAAAAACGTTTGCACTCACAGTTTTCTGGATTTGTGGCTTCTTCAACCTTCAGCTGTGATCCTAGGGGGCAGGCATCTGCCAGCTCCAAATACGGGCACTCGACTGAGTAGTACCCTGCGAGACCTTTGTAAACTTCAATTAATTCACCACTTGCCTGCCTATAGTATAAGTTAAGCAGTTGCAAGCGTTCTAATTTCTCTGGGTAACCGAAGTGCCGTAGCGCAGGCACTAGTCTGGTGACCCACCTTTGGATATTTTCAATGAACGGGCAGTCTCTAACATATCTTGGGGTGATAGTACTGTACTCTAAATAAAAAAAGCACCTTAATCATGAAGAGTGTTACAAGGGATATCTGAATGACCTTATAAGACTTACTAGCTTAGTTGCTTGATTCGCCTTCTCACAATAGTCCGAGAAATTCAGTTTGTTGTCAACATGCACACCCATGCCCTTTCCACATTTGGTCTATGTTAAAATGCTGTTTCTTCATCCCATTGGGACATGTTATACTCCTCCATACTGTTGGTATGACCGAGGGGCATCCTTACACTGTGACATTGAATGTTAACAGCCACATCTTTGACCACTCCTGAAGCTAACAGAGATCTTTCTGTAGCTCTTCACAATCCATTTGGTTCTTACTTTCCCCGAATAACTTGGGATCGTCCACAAACATTTGTATGGAGGAGTGTACAGCTCGTGGCATCTCATTTATGAAAAACAACCAACAGGCCCAGCACAATGCCCTGTAGTACCCCACTAGTCATGGTTACACACGACGATTTCATGCCATTAAACATCACTACACTTGGAGTCAAGATCTCCAATCCATGCTAGAAACACTTTCCAAAATTCCATACCACTCGTTTAATTTTCAGCCTTTCGTGGAGTATATTGTCAAAAGCCTCGACAAAATAAAGATAAATATTGTAGATATTGCCACCGTTCCAGAATTTGAGTCCTAGCCTCCAGCACCTTGTGTAATTGTCAACGAGTGTTCTGGCATAAAACCATGTTGGGTGCATTTTGGGGGGTAATGGTAGGCAGATGTATGGATGAAAGTGGTAAGGAGAGTAATTGCGTAGTGATGTGTATCAAGAGGAATTAGGAAAGCAGTTGGGGGAATGGATACGGTTTCAGATATACATTCCCTTAGGAATTATAGGACGTGTGTGTGCCAGTGGAGGTCGAGATGAATGTATTTTGGAGAAGATAGAGATGGAACCTTTGAAGGGAAGATATTGCTGAATTTGCTGCTATGGAGTAATACAGTATTGTGGAAACAGTTGTGTGACTTGGATTTGTGGTAGTGGGCAAGAGCTGATGTTCAGTAGAAGGGATAATGTGCGGGGGGGGGTGGGATTTTTACCCTATACAGTATTTTAATTACGTAGGAAAAATAATACCAGTAATTAGTAAAGAAAGTTTATTAATCTTTTCATATAAAGTTTTTAATAAATTGGAATGTGACAGCACATGAAGAAGGAATGGTTCAATTTAAAAGATATTTATTTATTCAACAGAAATCAAATGAATACATTTGCAAATGTATCCATAAAAAAATTATCATACTGAGATTCAGAAAAAAATAAGAATGCCTAACCAGGAAAGTTTCAACTGAAAGAAGTGTGAAAAATTATTTTTATAATAATTCATAAATTAATATTAAATACAATACAATCTAAATTTGTAAGCTATGTATTCTGGCTGAGTTGTACTTAATACATATTGAAAAAATTATCAAAAATGCTCAAGAGTAACTACCAATTCATTAACGAGATTGCAGCTACATTTTCTAACTTTATTGTCTTGCATCACATTTTCAAGTCCTATTCACACAACTAGGTTGGTTTACCTGCAGAAACTATTTCCCAAGTTCATGGAGTCAACTATCTAGTTCTAATAAACACTATTGCCAGTCAGTAACATTTTATTTCCTTGCTTGTATGATACTTCAACTATCAGTGTAGCAAAGTGGACAATGCTTTTATGTTCCCAATGCTCAATTCAGTAAAAAATAAATTAAATTCCTCACAATAATATTGACTCACTAGTCTAAAAACAATTAAAACATAAAAAATAACACATTCGCACTGAAAAAACATCAGACCCATCAGTTAGCTAACAACCCTCAAGAATGTAGTGGTATACCGTATATTTTACATTCCAAAAACCCTAAAACTAGTTTTTGAATTGTGCAGGATGATATTACAAGTTCGACGTTACATTTACATATGACGGGTGGTGCCGAAAGACATTCCTGCCTGGTTTGCACCCTTATTGGAGCCATACTGCAGACTGATCACACTGTCAGAGGCTCTCAGCTGCTCCTCAGTGAATTGACGGACATTTTTCTCTGCTTCCTTTGGACCGATAGCAGGCTTTCCAAACTGGCCACCCTGAAATATATAAAAGATTTTTGTACCTTACTAAAGAGTATATGGGAGATTGAGGATGGTGGTGGTAGCACACCTGCCTCTCACCGCTGTTACCTACATCTGATCCCTGGGTTGGATGCATGAAGAGTGTTATAGTGTGACCCTACCAAATACAGTAATACAGGTTTACTCAAGCTTCGTCTAGTACCAACACTGGACCCCTGTAGGACAAAACTGTCAAGCACAATGGGGGGGATTAAACAAGACACTGGCTTCTTTCCCCATCAGAGAGGTAAATAAAAAAAAGCAGGTCAACACCATTTTTTTTGTCATGACTTCATGGACACATTGCTTGACAAGTATAGCCATTTTAAAAATACTGAATTCCAGATCAATCTGTACACTGAGCTGAATGTTATCAGGAGTTCCACACCAAGGGACTAATGGCACTTCGATTTCAAGAAAAGGAGAAATTAACATTCGTTTTGAAAGAATAATAATCTTACCTCTTTGGTACAAGTGGAAAATTTGGTAACGACATATTAAGGAATGCAGAATGAGTGGAGATATCAATCTCCAATGAGGTGCCAAATGGGGAAGGAAGTACTGTACAGTACTGTATACCTAATTACCTAGCTTCAGATCAGTTACAAACAGAAGACAGTGAAAATCATTTCTGACCCAAAATTAATGAGATAGCAATAGTGCAAATGCACAGATGAATGATTCTGTAAAGTCAAGAGCATTTTCCTTATTTCTAAAGATGGTCTGGGATGTGGAGAGGCTCATGGACATGTTGGAAGCAGTCATTATCAAGGATTTACTGTAGTTTTATTACTGCAAAGCAAACAGTTGGTCTATAATCAGTTGATATTTATATTTTTCATGAATAACTACTACAATTCTTACCTTCCTTCCTAGTGACTGGATGCAAATGACTACTGAATTAAGATTTTGGCGTTCCCAAAGGTCAACAGTCTGGAAAGTCTCCTGGGAGGGGACACCACAACTCTTGGCCCCATCCACAAACTGGTTGATGTTTTCCATGCACTTGAAGGCCATGGTAGACTTCTGAATCTTCTTAATTTCCCCTGGCTTAAGGGCATTTATAACTCTGAAATGACGAGATTCAATTAGTTGTGAAATTCATAGAGTATGTGGTCGAAACTTAAATCCCAAAAGGTTGTAACTTGGGCATTAAGGTCAGACACAGCTGCCTGTCAAATCAATTAATTTTTAACAAACCCTACATTTGGTTGAAGCTACTGTATTTTACACTGATAGAACTATTTCCACATCACTGGAAGATTTAAGACAGTTTATTTCACCTTTAATCCTTTTGGGTAGCATTAGGGCATTTAATCCAGCTGAAATAAGCTGAGGTGTCTTAATCTTCAGGTGATTCCTATTTCTTTCCTAGCTAAATTAAAAGGAACAGAAGCAGTAAAGTATACAGGATATTATGAAACAGTAAAACAACTTCACTTAGTAATTGGTGCGTGTTAACCACAACCCCAAAATGATATATGGCTCAGATTTATTGTGCCAGTTTTAATTTATTCTCCCACGTGCCTGAAAAAAATTCTCATCATACACAGGCTCTAGTCATCCCCAGATAGATCTCGAGTAGTTGCAAATGGTTTCCTTCTCCCAACTCCCGCTTAAGAGCACATAATGTACTTTTCCATACTACTGCATCTCAATTTAGTTTCATCCATGCAGCTCTGTAGAACTTCACCCAATACATCCTTCATATAGTCATACTGTACTTCCATTCTGCACTTTCAATCCTGTAACTCCTCAAACGACTCCCAGAATGCAGATTCTGTATTGCATAAGTGCCTTTGTATTCTTCGAGAATCAAGTACTACCTGGTACAATGTAATATATTCTATTCACTGGCACTTAAAAAATAAAATAATGAACCAGGATCTGATTAAGTAGAGAAGTTGCATAAATATCTATCAACTTGATACAGACGAAAACACTATCGGGTAATTTTAAAATGAAAATTTGAAATCAATGCTCATAGAAGTATACCTGGCTTATTATTTTGGTCAATTTATAGCTATGTACAGTACTTACAACTAACCAGTCAATATTCAAATAACACCGTAAACACATGATTATGACCAACTTACTCGCAGAGCATCTTGCCGTCCTTGAGAATATTATAGAAGTTGTCTGCATTGCCTGACTTGTCGAATTCTTGTCCTGTAACAGCAGCAATCCACTCCAAGCACTCTGCAGCCTGCTCCTCATTGTACTTTGCCTCAACCTGCAAAAGTAGCCCATTACAGCACAAAAAATACTAAATGTTACTACAGTATAAAATAAAATTAAAAACTACAGCACAACACAACCTCTAACTGCACTGGCCACAACCTAGGCGAGTGAGGAGGATAAGTTACAGTATTGTACTATAACTCCGATAAGGACAAACAATAATTGAGATCAGAAGAATAACTCTCCTGTTTATTTCACCTGATGATCAATCACCCTAATGTCACCTGGGGGGATCAAATTAGGTGGTAAACCTGAAGGTGATCCATTACCTTTGATGTTCAAATTTAAATTCACACAAACATAAGCAACAAGAGTTCAACCAAAACAACTTATGGCATAAATCAAACTGGCTATGCTGTCTTCCATAAGAAAGTCTGTGCTTCTTGCATCATTATCTATTTATTGAAGTTTCAACACAAGGCATTGAGCAGGGTGAACCAGACCACCTACAGCCATGAGGTGAAACACAACTTTCCCTCCACTTTGTTAGGTTTTGTTCCCGGTTTATAAAATATCACACCCTAAACAATAAATAAATGAAACTCATTTAATGGAAAATATTACAAAAGTAAAGTGGCGATTGGTGGTGCGGATTTTCCAGGGATATACTGTATTCAACAAGTTTCATCCATAACAAAGAGTAGTTTGTAGTAAGTGGTGACTTTTTCTTCTAAGGTCTTTAACATGAGATGAAAAGGTTAATCATATTAAAACAGACCGTATATCTGTATCTGAAATGTCACTTCACTGATCCTCAAAAAATCATATTGTGGAAAGTGTTGTCACTTCAGGACGTAGAGCTATCAATATATACTGTACAGTATCAGCCAAAGTTCCCTTTGGCAGAACCTCCAGTGTACAACGTACACTGGATCAGAAAATGGGAAAAAGACTTACGCTTCTCTCTAGTCTCACAAAATTCTGTACTAGTGTCACAAAGGCCTCTATTGTTAATCTACAGTATGTTAGCCATGGTAAACATGTATCTTATGATAAACTCAAAAAACAGTTAGCAGAACCACCACACAATACACAGCACCGAGAGCTTTAAAAAGTGCCAAATACAAACTCAAATTCAGCGCCTTCTTGCCGCATTGACTTTCAATACGCAAGATTATTTACAGTGCATTTATATTCACTTCTCATTTTTATTATAATCATATATGCACTACTATCAACCTAACGATTTCAATAAAATTTGTAAATATAAAACTAAAGATACACAGAGAAAGCACCCCCCTCTACTGTATAGTCCTCGGGACCGGCAGCAGGTCATGGCTCGTCTCGCCAGGCAGAGGAAGAACCAGCAAACCAGGAGGTGACGTCAGGATGTAATGTTGCCCGCTCAAGTAACATCACCGTTTAAGTAACTAGCCTAGCGAATTGTTCACACACATATCCACAAGACGCTGCTTGAAAGTGCATTACAACACACATCTTCCGTAAAATTAATTATTGTATTTAATTCTAAAACAAAATGTGAAACGCTTAACAAGACATTATGAAAACGCATGCATACCAGCGTCCGCATTGTATTCTCCATTCCCGCATTGCGTAACTCCCACACCAAACAATATACAGGTTCTGAATACCTGTTTAATACATATGGCCTTGCAATATTGCAAGATATTGAAGTAAATTGTACATAGCATGATAATATTTCATCAAAAGATAACTTGCAAATAAGTACAGTATTAGCCATGTGTTTTGCTGATAAATGATATACAGTACAGTAAAGCGCAGACAGGGCCATACGGACGACTATAAAATTAATACCAAGAAGACTCATGACCAACATAAACCACTAGTTACTTGACAAATACAGTAGTGATATTTTAAAGGTTACATCCAAAAATCACCATCGGCAACTGTACCCTTGTATCTTACGCCTTGCAGTACTTCAAGTTCAGCAACTTCAAATAAACACAAGCAAGCTCCGCTTCATTCCATACCCGGTAACCCGGATCTAGTACACTTTACAACCAACTGCCAAGTCCTACAGTTTCACAACTTTATGCTGCCTACCGGCATAAAATGCTTTTCATAAGCTAAACATAACTTTGTCCAATAGCAAAAGATCAAATAACGACAAGCAAAGTCAATAAAAGGTTAGAACAACATAAAATGAAGGTTTATTTACACAACGACGGTGAAGCCTAGCCAGTGAGAAGCTATTCTTCACCAGGAGTCGAGTGTTGCCAGCTGATCCCGGGCCCACACGACATCGTTCAGGGCCCCCACATTATTTTAATTTCACCACTTTTAGCTTACTAGCCGTTCGGGCGGTTGGTCTATCCAATGTTAGTACAAGAAGAAACTTGTGATGTTTGGTAATGGAAGGGTAACATTGAATAACACCATTCTCACGTGTCCAAGCCAAGCGCGACTCGAATCCTTGGTCAGAGAGATACGCACGTCTCTGCTGCACCAACACCCCTGTGAGGTCCTGGCAACAGTCATGACTCTCCGGCCACCTAGAGGTCACATTGCCTTGGGACTCTAACGTGACTAGGCTGTATCACCCACCGCTTATGCTCGAACTCCCTTGACTTTGTGATATGGGACGACATTTACACTCTTATTACATAATGGAATGGAGAAGTGAGAAAAGGTTAATGATATTATTAAAAGATGGAGTCTAGAAATGTACTGCAGATGTTTAAAAAAAAAAAAAAAAAATCAATGAAGTCGGGAGATAAAATCAAACTGGCACGAATGTAGAAAGAAAGTCAACGTTGATAGGCACCACCATAATTAACTCAACGAGTTAAGTGGAATTGAACCCAAACTTTAAATACTACAGCGCTACAGAACCTACCACAGAGGCTCCACTTTCACAGGATGCACCGGAGCTATTTTTAGTTTTACCAAGTAAAGGTACTAATTAGTTAAAACTGGTGGAAAGAAGTCTTCCATAAATTACTGCATAAACATTTAATTTTGAAGTAGTTCCAATTGCCAAAAATCAGCTTACTGACACCCTACAAGCACCAATACCTCTCCAAATGCTCGCTCTTAAGGTTGAACAAGAAAAGCGAGAAACAAGTATTTAAACCGTTTAACGCTTACAGAGGTTTCTTTTGGTGTTAATCATAACAAGGAACGTAGGCTGTGGATGTTTATTCCATTTGGTTGTCCAATAGGAAGTTGCAATTTTGTCTCCGCTTTCTTTATCTGGTCCTGCAATTTTGCACTCGGTATTCACGATGCGAGGAAGCATGTTTATTGAATAAGTAAAGTTCCAATTTGATATTTAAACAGTTAAGAATAGGGGTGACCTAATAACGAAAAAGGATGCAAACTCTACAGCATCACAAGCAGCGGAGCATATATGACAATGGTCTAAAATAGAGGAACTATTAATATAGCCACAAGATTTAGTAAAGCTGACCCGCCAAACATATTTGCAGTTATACTAAACTCGATACAGACATGAACACAACGTTACATAGTGAACCAGACCCCGATCGTACTTTAAATTCCTATATACTGATAACCCTGCATTCTACGTACATAAAATGTCAATAATCCTTTAACTTGAGACCAAGTTATATCGCCCTATGTAACATCTTGTATATATAACTGTAAACTGTAATTTTTTAAATAAAAAATAAATATTCTACAAACCATAACCCCCCACCTCGTGTTTCATGACCCGGTCGGTTTAGCGGTTATACCTCCACGAAAAGCTTAGGAATACAACATGACTAATAACATTTCTATTTATTGTTCTGGACGAGGGAGAATGGCGAACGGTTGGTAAACTATCTATCTAAAGATGCTGTTGCCCTTAACATTTCCTATAACTTTTGTTACACGGCCAAACAAACACATAGATGGTGATCATGGGCAACACTTCACCTCACACACCCAGGCTCTCTGAACACCTGCGTTCTTCAACTAGCTGGCTCATGGTACTGAGCAGCTGACACCCACATAAACCATCTCCATATTGCTGCTGTCTACTGCAGTAACGTTTTATCACAACCTGGAGCCTTTATGACGTACTCTAGATGTTCAATAACACAGTAAGCTGTAAGTGACGCTAATATAATACTCCCACGTGCATTCCCAGCTTGTCTTCAGACAAGGTGTTAACAGTAAGTAATGTCATACCTGCCTTTACCAATATTAAATTGCTGCTTAGACTGGTACTCATATCTGCATCTACAAGAGAACTTGTAGAACACTCGATGGTCTCAACATTGCTTTCGAAATTTCACATATAGCACTTCATTTGAATTCCACGAATGCCCTATCCTATACGTTGACCAGTAATCATTGGTAACTAAAATGCCTAGCAATTTTCAAGTCTACCTATCATACCATGTTTAGACAGTGATGATTAAGCCAAGGAGAGTTTCAAATACGACACAATCGTGTAAAGATTAGGCACCCCTGCTTATTCCACGTAGCATTAGGGCGTTGTATCATCCATTGAAATAAGATGTGCCCAATCCCCATTGATTCCACTATCAGATATAACCACCCATAAATCATTCCCAAGATTTCTGCCTCGTCATAAACTATCCATTTTCAGGTATACGTGGATGCCTCAACGGGTACTTGTTTTCAAGCACTGAGGGTACCTTCCCCACCATCCCTATTACAGCGTACTTGCCTAATCGTGTCAATCCACCCACGAACCTATTGGCTGCTTCTCATACAACCATCTTGGGTTGCTTGTCCGCTACACACAACCAGGCTTGGGATTACCTGCACCTCCCATCACCAGCCAATAGTTGAATGTACGTACAGTACTACAAGTACAAGTATGGGTTATTGTACCACTAACTGTGCGACATACAACAGCCTAGTATTAATTTTACCACACAACCATCGCAATTACCTGCATTACCCGCATAATATAATTCATCCGGAAATTATTTGCCTGGGCGTCTGGGACTAACTTACAGGATTGTGTCATCCAGTCGTCCCCTCCACCTCAACTAGAAAGTCATCAAACCTCTGATTAATGTGCAGTGAAGCAGAAACTCCGTAAGTAATTATCAATATAAGAGCCGTATAGTTTAAGGAAAAAATACTAATATAAATATTTTCTTATTAGTTACACCAACACCCGAGGTTAGTCTGTCGTGGCGCGAAACTCGTTTAACACAACACGCCCATCCAAGTACCAGCCGGTAGGCACACCCCCATCTTGCTTGTCATCATTAATCTTTTAATCCACAAAGATAAAAATCATTGTGGACGTAACACTTCAGATTTTATTTTCACCGACAGCCTCAAAACTACAGCCTGCTATGTGCTCAACACGCCAACATCCAGGATAGATGGGATCAATACTACCAACTCCGTTTATATGAAATCCCATGAGTTTTCTTACTATATCTCCTTGTCGTAGGACACACTTATATCTTACCTTGGACTGGGCCTCGGCGGCAAGTCCTGACTTAGTGGCACGGCTCATATTTGTGGTGTAGTGAGGAGCAGAGACAACAACGCGTGCAGATACACTGAAGAACTGTTGTGAACTGATGACGACCGCGCGCAGCTGCCTCGTTTTACCTCACCCGGCGCGAGCGTTCATTGGCTGGTGATGACGTCGCCTTTTTTATATTTTTCACAGCTGAGGTTAATATGACTGTTATTTACATAGTACAGGATGAGTATTACATTGTATGTGAGTGATGTGATAAGGTTAAACTGTGTTGTGAATGAATTTGTATCTATCAACAAGTAGTTATCACGATTCAATTTCATTGTGAAAATTAAATGTGTTTAACTTTAGCGAATATCCATGTGATAAATATTTTCCAGATAAATAATATTCTAATTACTTTACTATTCTCTTATAAACGTATCCAAGTAATATGTGTTTAATAACGTCAGCCACATTATTGCCAACGATTCATAATGTCATTTGTATAAACAGAAAGTTGCAACACTCACCCAACGTTTAACACAGAGGGTCATTTTATTTGTCTTTGGGTTGAGTCCTGGTGTGGTCCTTCATGGAGGTCGTCCAGCCTAGGTCATCCAGCCTAAAATCGTATAAACCAGAGCGGGCCTGACCTTACCCCCTGTGCCAGATTTCTTCCCAGGACACACACCTGACCTCGACCCACACAAGCAACAAACAGCTGACTTACGCCTGACCACGCCAGCAATAAACACTAACTCACACACCTGACCAACACAATGTCCACAGTGGCTCTATCGCGTATAGGATGATGCTTGAGAATGCTTATATGGATCACCAAAGGATCAGACTCCGCAGCTCATAATCACCTTAAGACACCGCAAATATTTCACCCTAAGACACCGCAGCTCATTTCAACTTTAGGTTAAACACCCTAAGTAACGCTACCTGGGTGGGTTACGTTAGGTTAGTAATAAAATAGTTAATCTTAAAGTGAAATAAACTAGCAGACTAATCTTCAGGTATTTCTACAAAGTACATATTCTGTCTATGACTGCGCTCGCGTCCTGAAAAAGTAGAGACACTTCCAGTTCACCCAGTTTACAGTGGGGGGAATGAAGTCGGCGAGCGAAACACCTACCACGATGCCTCCTTGCTTACCAAAGGTGTTCTCAGTGTGCCTATCGGGTCGACTTTCCCTTTCATACGTGACTGGCTAACCAGGTAACACGTTTGATTTATGATGAGATTTAAGACACCACCTCTGAGGTATTCTCTCGTTACCTGGGAATTATTGTGCTGTACATACCTGTAATTTATACCGAAGAGTATTTACAGATCACAGTAAGATTAGGCACTCTAGCTTAAGTCATCCGATGATTAAACACTCTAACCTAACCTAACCCCCAGCTAGAGTTAGGGGTTAGGTTAGCCGTGAGGTACACTAAGCTAGAGGAGCTAATCTACAGGTGATCTCTATTTACACTAATGTTGCATTACCAACTTTACGAAACTGGTCTCATTTCTTACACGATGACCCCGACACACAAACACATTATACGAAACATGGTCGTGGACACAATAAATTATTTCCTCATAAGTTAGCTGGGAAAAAAATCAACTAAGAAATATGAAGAAAGGTGATTTATGAGCATATGAGAGCCAGATATGAGTATTTGAGGTGTGTCAGTAAGTGGTAGGAGAACGTGATGTGAATTGTGGTTTTGTGAGATGCGTTTTGAGTTGTAAGATTGTGAGATGTGTTTTGAGTTATGAGTTTATGATGTGTGTAAGTGAATCTGGCGGATCTACTCTTGTCAAGCTCATTAACTTTAATCAACTTCCTCTCAACACTCTTTATCAAAATATCTAAATAATTAACAGGAAAAACTGACGACATTTATCTCTCATCATTAAAATATAACTAAGGAAATAAGTCTTACCTACCGTGAGATAAAAGTTTGTTAACATGATAAGTGTACCGTCTTATGTATATACGGTACAGTCATCCACAAAAACTTCTGTCTCTCTCCTGTTATTCCACAAACCCGAGATTCAGATTCGTGAACCCCAAGCAGTAAACACAGGTATTAATCGGTATATAAATGTTTCGGATTCAAAAGTTCTAACTCTCCGGATTCGTGGTTCAGGAGTAGAGGCGATAGGACTTTTTGTGGGTTACTGTACAGTTATTTCCCTGCTAAAGTTAAGGAACGAAAGTACGTATAAAAACACAACAGAAAACGTAGTGAAATAGAGTTTATAAGTTTCTATATTAGGATCACCTGAAGATTAGCCTCCAGCTTGTTTCACCTGATTATATTAAACGCTATCGATATACTTGGCGCTGTTAGTTTAGGTTAAGTTAATATTAAGGTGAAATAATCTGGGGGGGGGGGTGATACTTTCAAATGATCCGAATATTATAAACACATACGAAGCCTTTTATTATAAATTTTCACCCCTTATCAGTTTAATAGTCGTTCGGGCAGTTGGTCTACCCAGTGTCAGTACAGGAGGAAACCAGAGACCGGGAAACCTATATGATATTTAATAGGTCACACCGGATACCACCCTCCTCTACACGTCTGGGCTAAACCTGTTGGTGAGCTACGCGCGTTACTGCTGTACCGAGTCAGTCTACTTAGAAATCTTGTTTTGTATAACCTGGTGATATTTCCTCGAATATTTGGCACCAAAATTCGATTGGGGTCTCAAAAAAAATGCAGTGTAAAAAAAATAATAATAAATTAAGAGCCACATTTGCCGATAATGGATTACGTAGGTGAAAAGCTATCACGTAGAAATCAGACAAAAATCTAGGATTACATGAAGATTAGCCCCCCAGGTTAGGTTAGGTTAGATTGTGTTAGTGCTAGCGTTAGGTTAAGTTAACATAAGCGTAGTTAATGAAATCATATGAGGGGATTTAATCTTCAGGTGATCAAAATCCTATAATCATCTCGTGCTGCCGACCTAGGATATGTTGACCCCCCCTCAAGACTTATTCGCCTCACACTCTTACAGCAGCCTATGTGTATTTCTAAATCTCTCATAGCAATCTCCTGGTCATTATTGCATTAAAGAACAATTAAAAAAAAATATCCCTTTCACGCTAAAAACACCCATCAACCAGGTCACGAAAAGAGGGTATTGTATGAGGCTAAGAAAAAAGCATTCAAAAGCATTTCAGGGTTAGACGGAGCCCTTTTATGTTGACGACACCGGTTTTTTCCCGTTAGATGGCAGCAGAATCCAACCTAGACACCCAATAACGCACCGATTCTTTTATATTCACGGCTTTCTTGTTTTCTCTTACTGTGTTCTGTCTTAGAAAACAACAGAGTATTCGACAAGAGAAATAATAAACTCGGAGAAGGAGGAAAATGGTCGAAATACATGGTTGTTGAGTAGTTTTGAAGACAGAGCATGAATTTGGTTTTCAAGGAGGTGCCCGGGTTGGTCGTTTACTGTAGCTTGTCTCTCCATAAGTCTGGTAACTCACCGTATACATTATTACCTCAACATGAACATTAAGCAGTCACCCTTTCTTGCTCTCAGTCCTCGTGTTTGTTTTGGTCACAGGAACCCCAAATGAGGTCAACTAAACAACATGGCTTTGGATCTCGTGACCTCCCAAAGCAATAGATATCTTCCTCATTGACTATTATGAACTTTGATCTTCATTGGTTAGGTTAGGTTAGGGTATATGTCTGTAATAACTTCCATTTGGGTTCATAACAATATTGACCGTGACCTTTGACCTAATGACCTCTAAACCAACGGGGTAAACTTCCACTCCCTCGGGGCAATACAGTGTTCATCCAGTGGTAGAAATTCTTGTTTACTAATCCAAGAAAAAAATTTGACCTCTGAACCCTTCACCCCAGAAACAATATGGACTTCCACTCTCTGGGGCCAAAGAACATTAGGATGAGTCACATCCCGGGAACAAATAAAACAACTTTACCCACAACTTGATCTTAATAACCACTCTAACATTAAGCTCTCACAGTTATTGTTCCTCAGATGTAAGACAAGGTACAGTCCCCTTCACTAGTGCGTTTACAGGGTCTCGTCAGGTTTTGTGGAGTGTGGCAATAGTAAACAATAGTACATATACTTTGGAATCACATTAAAATAACATTAAAATAAATACCTCAAAGATAATGATTTGTGGAATGTTTATATGATGAGCCCCTGTAAACGCACTAGTGAAGGGACTGTACCAATATGCAGTGTCATGTTTACACGGACAGGGAAAATCAAAATCACGGTTCAGTGCCCAACAGGGAAGCATGTGGAGTTTCCAGACCCTCGTTGACTCATGCAATTAAGGACCCAGAAAAATAGTTTGACCCCCAACAGCCCCTAACAGGCAGTGGTGACCTTACTTTCCATGAGTTGTTGTTTTTGTTGTTTTAGTTCTTGTTTATGTGGCTTTATTTGCTTCAACAACAACTAAGGTCTTTTAAACACGTATTTTAAGTAGTTCCATATACAAACGACCATAACTACTGCAGAAAAGAAAGTTCTTCCTTTACCTCGGAGAAATTACCTATATAATTTCTATTTGTACATTGAAATCTCATGTTAAGGTTCAGAAGTCAATATTTTAACACACATACACACACAAACACACACACAGGCAGGCAGACGGACAGAGCCATAAATATACACGTACAGTCCTCTTCCCCAGTGCATAAAAGCTGCAGTTCCCTTCAGTACCCATAAATTAGTGTTATTAGTGATGACGACCAAGGTTAGTTAGTGTGTATGTATGCATGTAAGGTATGATGACAGGAAGTAGTATTAGTGAGTGGTGTGGAGTGGTAAGTGAGTGTAAGTGGTAGTATTAGTGAGTGGTGTGGAGTGGTGTACGGAGACAGGAGGTAGCATTAGTGTGTGGTGTGTGAGGGTAAGTGTACATTGCTCTCTCCTCTCCCACGGTATTCTCACTTCCCCTTCCTGACAGCCACTGTGATATTACTATAACATACAGGGGCGTGTACCTGCGTGAGGGGGCGGGGTGTATCTGCTGGTGGAGTTTATCTGCTGGGTGGTATATCTCCTGGGTTATGTACAGTACAGGCTGAAGGCATGTATTGTACCTGATGGGTCTTGTGTACCTGATGGGTCTTGTGTACCT